TCGTGTAATCGTGATATTATGGTAACTATATTTGAAGGTACGTTCATTAAATTAAAATTTAAAAAAAAGAACTATAATATAAAGCACTAGCAACAGTATCTCTGGCATTAGTTACAATATTATGATGCGTACTTGTTGATATCTTTATAATCTTTATTTGTATGTGATAATTATAGTATATGATATTATGGGGTAACATAAAACAGATTTTAAAAAAAATTATTACTCTACCTGTAAACAAGAATTACAACCGATCTCCTGTCCAATATTTATCTATCTCTTGTCGTTGCATGTCGTTTAAAAAAAAAAAAAAAAAAACCGAAGTAAAAAAAATGCATTTTAAAGTTAAATTTTATTAGAAATGACAAAGACTTTGCTGCTGCTACTGCTGATGACAGCTGTCACGCACCTCAGCGGACAAGACCGGGCTCCTGTCGTTGCTGCTCCGGCCGGTACATTCCGCGGCACAACGGAGTGGTCACCGCACGGCCAGCCCTTCACAGCTTTCTTAGGGATTCCGTACGCCCAGCCTCCCGTTGGTCAGCTGAGGTTCTCCAAACCCGAACCTTTACCTAGAATACAGGTAAACCGTTTTTTTTTTCCTGAGATGTTACATGGATATACAAGGTAAATTCTATCTTCTGAGATGTTACATAGACATACAAGGTAAATACTATCTTCTGAGATGTTACATAGACATACAAGGCAATACGTTTGTAATTAAAAAAATTAATCCAATCCCGGTTTTTTCGAGCATCAATTATGGTCCGGTATTCCGGTATTTTCGAACTTCGGGATCCCGGATTGCGACCCCTTTTTGTTAAGATGTTACCTAGACATGTAAGGTAAATAGTTTTTGGAGATGTTGCCTAGACATACAGATGTCACCTAGACATACAGGTAAGTTTTGATATGTTACTCCAGCAGTTCTCAAGCAATTTTAAGGCGGTGAATCCTTTTTAAAAAAATGTCCACATCTTAACGGGTCAAAATAGGATTATCCCTACAATGTGAGAAACAGATGCTGAGACATGAAGGGGCGTATATTATTGTAGTGTAGTTACAGTGTATTGACAATAAGAAATGAACCGTAAATAATGTTCAAGTTTTTAAACGAAAGATGCTTCAATTAAGATAATTAAAATAACTAAAATACTTAACTTTACTAAACAATCTTCACTTTTTTGGAAGTTATCAAACAACTCCTGGCTTATTGGTAGCCATGCAAGACGACTCCCGAGGGGCTCGTGAAATACATGTTTAAGATCCACTGTTTTACTGCTGATCGATCTTTTCGACAAATCGAAATTTTATAACAACTCTGTTGCCGTTATTATCTGCTGGACCAAATAAATGAGTTTTTATATATATTTTCCTTACAAGAGTACAAAGATATGTTTTTAATCGAAACGATAAAGAAAATCATAAGCCTCGATGTTCTACCAATAATGCTAACTAATGAAGAGCTAGAGAGAGAGAGAGAGAGAGAGAGAGAGAGAGAGAGAGAGAGAGATGGACAGAGAGAAAGAAAGAAAGAGAGAGAGAGAGAGATGAAAGATGAAGCCAATCGAAAATAATTAAAAACGTATATGTTCGTCACTATAAAGATCACTGATAACTGTATTGTTTGATGTTTGATATGTTGGTCACTTCCACTATCACTCATAACGCTATTGTTGGATGTTCATACGTTGGTTACTAGACGATCTTATCCACGACCAGGGGGTTTACGACGCCACCAAGCGAGGACCAATGTGCATACAACCTCAGGACATTGACCTGGGGTACCCCAGTGAGGAAGACTGCCTCTACCTGAATGTGTACGTACCATCTCAGGTAAGCTCCACTACTCGAACATGCTTATCTAGATTTGCTTGAACTGCACTAACGTCGGCATTAGTGTTTGTATGTACAATCATACCCATAATAATTTGATTTGGCACGCCTTTGCTTTTGCTAGACAAGTTTGAAAATTAATTGTAATTTGACCATTGGGACGTATTTTATCAGGATGGTTACCATTCATTATTGAAATATAGCTTATCGTAAATGATTTACCATTCATTATTGAAATATAGCTTATCGTAAATGATTTACCATTCATAATTGAAATATAGCTTATCGTAAATGATTTACCATTCATTATTGAAATATAGCTTATCGTAAATGATTTACCATTCATAATTGAAATATAGCTTATCGTAAATGATTTACCATTCATTATTGAAATATAGCTTATCGTAAATGATTTACCATTCATTATTGAAATATAGCTTATCGTAAATGATTTACCATCCATTAATTGAAATATAGCTTATCGTAAATGATTTACCATTCATTATTGAAATATAGCTTATCGTAAATGATTTATCATTCATTATTGAAATATAGCTTATCGTAAATGATTTACCATTCATTATTGAAATATAGCTTATCGTAAATGATTTACCATTCATAATTGAAATATAGCTTATCGTAAATGATTTACCATTCATTATTGAAATATAGCTTATCGTAAATGATTTACCATTCATTATTAAAATATAGCTTATCGTAAATGATTTACCATTCATTTTTGAAATATAGCTCATCGTAAATGATCAGGTGGGAATAATTTATTTTGCGACTTTTCACCATTATCAATATAATTTTTGGGTGCTGCTAACCACTGCCTCGGGTGATCGGGGTGTGCCTTCTTAAATATATTACGTTTTAAAATTGCGAATTTTTATCGGTACGGGTGTTTTAAAGAGGATGAGAGAAATGTGTGCCGTCATTATAAAATGAAACAATCTCAAATTTAAAAAAAAAAAAAAATGTTGAAAGTATCATAACTGTTTACTGCTTATGATAGGTCTCGACTATGGTTCAATACATTGGTTTATGTTATGCAAAATATTATGATCATTAAATCGTACACCGGTCGGTGTTTAAATTAGAGCAAAGCTCATCAATAAAGTGAATTCACTACTTTTGTATGGTATTTTGAACCAATGGACTAAGTAAATATTTCTTTTGTTATTATAGCGCCTTGTAGTAATAGACTGATGTCTAATTATTACTAATTTTAAAGGTTGATAATGTTCCGATAAATTGAATTAATTTTTTTCCTTTAAGAATTTAATCTAAATTTAATTCATTTTCATTTTCAAATTTTATATCATTTTAATTTAAAAATAGATTTTTGTAATATAATCCACCACCACCCCCCTTAGTAGTCCATTGCCCCCATAAATCTACTCAGCATTTTATCGCCCCTAATGTGTTACACACCCCCTGGGAGGCGGTACCCCCCTCTCGACTATGAGGACCCCTGCTTTGAACCTTCTACATTCAGGTCCTCTATTTAGGACAGCTGAAATAATGATAAAAATTTTGAACTGAATAAAGTGATCAGCATAGATTTCACGTTAATTCTCGTGAGACATTCCCTCGTTTTTGGTACGTTCTGCACCGATAGTTAAGCACCAGTCTCACTAAATTGATTTCCCGTTTTCATCAGAAAGATGTTTCAACTCAGTCCAGTAAGAAGGTGCTTTTCTACATCCACGGGGGAGGGGGGTTTCATGGGATCAGCCAATGAACACATTCCCGGAGAACTGGTGGCCACGGTGAGTAAAAAAAAAAAAAATTAAAGAGTCTGCATTTAATTCTTGGAGGAATTTAACATGTACGGAGAAATACTTGATTAAAAAAAAATATCGATACCTTTCAAAGCTTCGATCCGCGTTGGATTGATTGAACATGTCATCACGGGGTTAAGTTTAAAAAAAAATGTAGAGAAATATTTAACAAATTTAGATTACTTAAAGTAACATTTATAGGGGAAAAAATAATAAAATCCCCTCTCTTTTACTGATGACCCAGTCTTTAATCATAATTTTAAAAAAATTAGTGCCCAGTAACGATAAGTCCTTTTTTTTCCTTTCCTTGATAAGTTCTATTGTATTGTTCTATTGTATTGTTCTATTGTATTGTTCTATTGTATTGTTCTATTGTAATGTTCTATTGTATTGTTCTATTGTATTGTTCTATTGTATTGTTCTATTGTATTGTTCTATTGTGTTGTTCTATTGTATTGTTCTATTGTATTGTTCTATTGTATTGTTCTATTGTATTGTTCTATTGTATTGTTCTATTGTATTGTTCTATTGTATTGTTCTATTGTATTGTTCTATTGTATTGTTCTATTGTATTGTTCTGTTGTATTGTTCTGTTGTATTGTTCTGTTGTATTGTTCTGTTGTATTGTTCTATTGTATTGTTCTATTGTATTGTTCTATTGTATTGTTCTATTGTATTGTTCTATTGTATTGTTCTATTGTATTGTTCTATTGTATTGTTTTATTGCTTATTACATCGAAATTTTACGTTCTCAAACAACTATTTTTTGGGGGAGGTATTTTTGCCAAATTTATGTCAATAATACATGAAGATAAATTAAAGAACCCCTAAAAATAAAGTAATTCGAATAAATCCTTTATATGCATTTTTGTTTGCATTTATGTAACACTATGTGATTTTTTTATCATCTGTGTTGATCGTAGCAACTGATTTTTGGTATGTGAATGTTTTTTTTATCAACCTTACTGCATTAAAAAAAACAACTAAATGACTATAGATATATTTGAATTCCAATGCGCAACAAATACAATGCAAATAGCAACAACTACAAAACTAATACTATCTCTACATCAAAACACGCACCGATTGAACAAATCGAACAAATAAATTCATCCTTCACATGAAAAGCTGGAAAAACAGATTTTTGGGCGTATGGGGTGGCGTATTGGGCTGAAAATTTAAAAGCATATGATGTCAATGGCAAAGAGTCTATGTTGCAAGTTTAAGCGCGATAGGATGACAAAAAGTGGGTCATTTAGCCTCCCAAAGATTTTGACACAAGCATATCAACAAAAAAAAAAAGCGAAGTTAATAAAATGATTGAAGAACTCTCTGAACAGAAAGACATCATCGTGGTCACGCTTAACTACCGCCTGGCGTGGCTGGGCTTCCTGAAAGGGGAAGCCCCACTGTTGCCGGGCAACCAAGGACTGTGGGATCAGCTGATGGCGTTGAGGTGGGTCAAGGACAACATCAGAGCCTTCGGCGGGGATTCCGATGACGTCACGATCGGAGGCCAATCGTTCGGCAGCGTGTGCGTGTCGGCCCTGAGCATCACTCGGCAAGCCAAGGGGCTCTTCACGAAGGTGAATATATCAGAGACTACATAAATAGTCGTGTCTCTAAACCTGAGCCCATTATATACCAAATACCTCTTCCCAGTCCTCCATCAAGTGGTATTAACACCGAAGTACCAACTCCCAAGTACCATCTCCCAAGTACCATCTCCCAAGTACCATCTCCCAAGTACCATCTCCCATGTACCATCTCCCAAGTACCATCTCCCAAGTACCATCTCCCAAGAACCATCTCCCAAGTACCATCTCCCAAGTACCAACTCCCAAGTACCATCTCCCAAGTACCATCTCCCAAGTACCATCTCCCAAGTACCATCTCCCAAGTACCATCTCCCAAGAACCATCTCCCAAGTACCATCTCCCAAGTACCATCTCCCAAGTACCATTTCCCAAGTACCATCTCCCAAGTGCCATCTCCCAAGTACCATCTCCCAAGTACCATCTCCCAAGTACCATCTCCCAAGTACCATCTCCCAAGTACCATCTCCCAAGTACCATCTCCCAAGTACCATCTCCCAAGTACCATCTCCCATGCAAGTACCATCTCCCATGCAAGAACTATCTCCCAAGTACCATCTATCATCTAATGTCTCCTCAAAATACAATTTATCAACTAATAGCTCTTAAGTGCCATCTAATATGTAAAAATTCTAAAGGGCCATCCAAACAGTATCTCCCATGCATCGTCTCCAGTTTTATTTCTCAAGTAATATCTCCCAAGTACTATATTTCAAAGACCAGATTTCAAGTACTATATTTCAAGGACCAGATTTCAAGTACTATATTTCAAGGACCAGATTTCAAGTACTATATTTCAAGGACCAGATTTCAAATACTATATTTCAAGGGCCAGATTTCAAGTGCTATATTTCAAGGACCAGATTTCAAGTAGTATATTTCAAGGACCAGATTTCAAGTACTATATTTCAAGGACCAGATTTCAAGTGCTATATTTCAAGGACCAGATTTCAAGTACTATATTTCAAGGACAATACTTGTATGAACATTTTTAAGTACCACATTTTAAGGGAGATATTTCAAGAGCTGTATTAAAAAAAAATCTATTTCCCCAAACACCATTCCAACAACCACCCTTACAAAAACACTAACTCCAAAGCACCATTCACCATGCACCATTCCCCATGCACAGAGGCGTAGCGAGGGTGTTTGGCGCCCGGGGACAAGATTTGCGCCCGGGGACAAGATCCATTTTAAAGCGCCCCTTTTTCTTTCTTTCAACTCTATCACCACCAAGCACCATTCCCCAAGCACTATTCCCCAAGCACCAATCCCAAAGCACATTTCCTAAGCACCATTCACATTGCACCATTCCCCAAGCACCATTTCCAAAGGACAATTCCCCCAGCATCATTCTTCATCCACCATTTCCCATTCCGCACGCACCACTAAACATTGCACCACTCCCTATTTACCATCCCTCATGCATCCTTACCACCAAGCACATTTCCTAAGTACCCTTCCTTAAGTACCGTTGCACCAAGCACCATTCCTCAAAACAACATACCACCAAGCACCAATCCATCAAAGCATAATTTCCCAAGTGCGATTTACCTTTAAATTAATATCTCTGTTATATAAAACAAATCATCTACATTGTACGTATGTAAGTTACAAAAATATAACTCCCACAATAGTGTTTAAATTGTCTCTTATCATCTCCATGTACTGCAATTTTACGACGTCTTCATATTCCCAGGGCGTTTTAATCAGTGGCTCTGGAGTTTCTCAGTTCTTCGCCCACAACGATTCTCACACGCTGTTAAATTACCTCTCCAACAAACTGGGGTGCCAACATGCCAACTTGACCGCGACCGTCCAGTGTTTGAGATCCCGCCCCGCCGAGAGTTTCGTCATTCCGATTGACGTCAAGCTCCACAGCTTGTTCATATCTGAGGACGGTGAACTCTTGACATCATCCATACCAGCCCTCACGGAAGACGCTCGGTATTTGAGGGAGGTCGGCTTCCACTCCCGGGACTACCTCGTCAGTCTCACCAACATGGAAGGTCCAATCTTGTTGCAGGGGGTGTTCGCACTCGGATATGGTGAGTCTTAATGTGACAACACATAGCAAAAAAGCAATAACGCTAAACTGGACTCTGTGGACAATTTGGGGGACTGGGGGTTGGGGTTGGTCCGAGCTAATTGCTCTTTATGGCCTGGCTAAAAAAAATAGCATGGTCCACATGTTTGAATGAACCAAAATATGTATTCACATAGCGACCCTAAGGTCAAGTTTGAGGCACGAAGTCATAAGGCGTACACGATTTTCAAGCGCTAGCCTGCAATGGCGACAGTTCGGGCTCCTGTTGAGGTCTGGCTTGTTCAAGTATAATTGAAACAAACAGTTCGAATTAGCTTCAAGGCGAGTTAATAACAGGAGAACTTTGAAATACATTTACAGGTTTAGAATAAAGATCAGCTGAGCTATACAAGAAAGGATTATGGCTTGGCCTTGTTTTCCCTCAAAGGATGCAACACTCAATATAGTTGATATGATAAATAAAACATGGCTTTTAATATAATTTCTCTTTACACCAAAACACCAGAAAAAACAACAACACCCAAAACAACAACAACAACCGAGGCACATAATCCACAAACCAATGGTTTCACTGAATAATTGATAAAATATATTATCGTTAATAGATTTTAAAAAACCACAATATTATAATATAATGAAATGTAATATAATAACAAATAATGTAGTATACTATACAAATAAATGTAGGGAGTCTTTCCTTTCTTATAACGAACAGAAACTTAATACATTTTTAGGAGATCTTCAAGAGCTGTGATGTAATCAACGCTGTAAGTTTTGCAAAATAAAAAGAGTTTGCGTTCCTGGCGCAAACGATTTATAGAATGTCCATCAACATATTTATCTTTCATTGGAATTACATCATTTATCTTCATGTAATTATTGTCAAATGTCACTATAAAGTCTGACATATATTTCAAGGGCTTAACACATTTTGTCTTTTGTCTGTTTGAGTAAAGGGAAACAAACAATACATTCTTTTTCACAAAATGCAACATGGGAGGGGGGGTTCCTTCGCTAGGGGAGGGGAGGGGCGTCAAGAATTTGTGACACTTTGTGAGAGGTGGAAGGGGAGAGTCAAAAAATGATGTGTGACGTCACATTTTTTTAAATTTTATTATTTTATTTTTTTAAGTCTACAATTTTCTAATTTTGAAAAATCTTTAATCAATATCATGCAAAAACTGATGTGGCCATTTTACATTCGGCTCGGGGAGGACTTGGTTGTTTCGCGTCACAGTTTTCTAAAAAATATTAGATATTATTCCGTGTGGGGAAAATGTTAAAGAAAAATAATGAAATTTTAGTTTAGTTATGAACATTTTATGTTTGTTTTGAGTTTTTTTTTTAGGTGTGACGTGAAACTAAAGGGGGAGGAGGGGTGAAGAATTTGTTACACTTTGTGACCGGGGGGGGGGGGGGGGGGGGGGGAGTATAAAAAGGTCA